GTAAATTATCGAAATATACTTATTTAAAAATGAGGTATTTAATCGCAAAATTATTGTTGGTCGGTCATTTTTGCTAGATGAGTGTACATTCCTTTTTTTTTTTAAAAAAAATAATATTATATCTCCATTATATTCAATTTCACATTTTTTCACCTCAAATGAACTATCAGATTTGATATGCGGTGGTTCAAGTTGTCTTTACCTGAACGAAGCTTGCCACCTCTACGCGGAGTTCAGGAGAAACGGTTATAGTTAGAACTATAACTGGCTAAGCGCAAGCATTAAAAATGGTAATTACATATTAATATTTGCAAATACTAATTAAAATCTAATAATTCTGTTAATAACAAACTAAAATATTCCCAAACGAACAAAAATAAAAAATTAGGCGTGCAAAAGTAAAAAAAAAAAAATAACTAACGAAAATGGCAACCTAATAAACTAATTTAATTTATGATTCGGTTCTTTTTTATTTTTTTTAAAAAAACAATTCATTTAAAAATCATCTTGTGTATATGTTTTGTTAATTTTCAGATAAGATTGGAATTTGTTCCATATTTTAAATGAAGCTATAATAAAAAAATATATTTAAAAAAAACATTTGATTGATGCAATGATCAAAAAAAAAGCAAAAGATGGTGTAATACCCTTACCTAATGATTCTAACTCATTAATAGAAGAAAATGATAAATGGAAAATTAAAGATTTGATCGCAAACTGGAAATTTTAAAAAAAATAAAAATAATATGAAACTAAAAAACTATACAAACAACAAGCACACCGATTATTTTTGAAGCAAGCCTGAAGAGGATCCTAATAATTATTGATAATAATAAATGAAATGAATATCGTCTATCGCTGCGGGCTAAAGCGAAAGAACCCAAATTAATGAAACTAAAGAAACACGTACCGCCTCTGACTCAATCAGAAGTTTATCATCCACAACCACAACTGCATACATTGCGAAATATGGGAAGAAATTTTATTGCGGGATATACGCTACAATAAACCTTGTTTGTGGTGGTTTGGGTACTAAAAAAAAAATATGCATGAAACCCGATAGAAACATAAAAAAGTCCCAATATTAGCAGGGCAAATTGATTTTTTTTAGAATCTCGTAACCCGCCGTATCTTACTGTCTAGAGCCTAATAAACTTGGGACTATAAATTTGGCCAGATTTAGCATAATCATAAAAATCTTAATTCTGACAAAAATTGAATTTTGGCCAGTGTTAACCTGCTGTTATTCGTACATCATACGGCGCCTCAGATAATACACTGCGCTGAAAATCAGTTGATAGACTTTATAATACATGTATCGAATAATTTACTTTTTATTATAAATATTATATAGTCTTCTTTTTATTACTTATATTATATTATCTAGTTTTAATTATATTTATCATTTATAATTATCAAAAAAAAAGCATAGTATAGTACTAGTTAACAATTTTATATAAATAGACCTGTAAATTGACTTTGGGTCAGCAGAGTTTTGCTCAGAGATTGAGATAAGTCTTGTGACTAGACTTATAACTCTATAGTTTAATAAAGTTACTATTTACACTTTCAACCTTCTTCTTGTCTTCATCATAGGATTGATTGTGATAACCTATTACACAAGTGAATCGTGATAATAAATTGTTTTATTTATTAATCGTTAATTTCTCTTAAAGAAAGCCCTTCGAGATAATTGAGATTTTAAGTTATTTAGTTTTGTTAGCTTAGTCTTGAGAAGATTCCAGGTCTAACAACAGTCTTCACAAAATGGAAAATTGTGTGGCCTTAGATCCAAAATTTATATTTATCCAACCATGACTTGGTTCTTTGAAAACCTTCTTGTATGTAGGGTTACTATATTTTTTTTTTTGCTGTGTTTATCCATACTAAGTACGAAACTCACCTTTTCAAAATATTCAGCAGGAAAATTTAGGTCTCAACAAACATTTATTCTCCTTCTTATGGTCTTATTGAGTTTATTCCATGTTACTGTTGTATTTAGTTCTTTCGTTTATACAATTTTGTAAGTAAGGAGAAGGTTTTATTGAATAAATATGAAGTAATTGTAACAAAATATTTATTTAATATTATCAAATTAATCAGTGTTGCCTCAATGTCAGCGCTCTAGTTTCGCAATGCCAATATATTAAAACTACGCTATTACGAAAAATTGAAAAAGAAAATCGGAAATTAAATTAAAATAAACGAAGTTACAAATCGCGAAGGGTTAATGGAAGGATTTCAAGGTGTATGTATGCAAAATATAATAAGGACATGGAATGTTAAGTTGTTTAAGGATTTCCGGCTCGTATCTATAATACATGTCAATCGGTAACGTTTAGATTACCTGTATAAAAAGGTTTTGAATTGTCTGACCTCGTGAATTTATTCGTTTCCAATCTGGTTACCATTTTAGGATGTTTAATTGAAATAAGTTTACTATTTTGGTATGGTGAGTGAGGTGACATTTTATTTTGTACTGTATATAATTCTTATTCACATTATTTAAAGAATGGTAAATTTTTCTTTATTCCTAAAATAATTAAGCTAATTTATTTCGTGATAACTAAATTAGTTAGTGCATAAAATTATTATATTAACGAGTTATATATCTTATCATTATATCGAAATTTGTTTCAATATTATATACATAGATCATCTCATTTTATAACAATACAACTGAGTTTCTTTTACTATTACAAATTTTTTCTTTTATTATCAAAAAAATACAAAAAATATATATATATATATACGATTATTTCTAAGTTTTTGTCCCAATTTTTCAAAAAAAAAAATAAAAAATGCCATCGTCAA